ATTTCAAGTCAAGATCTCCGTCAGACAAATATAGGCTGCTATTGCATGTGAGCGGAGCAGCCAATATGAACAACCATCTCTAGTGACTGTGCTGTTGAAGTTCTGCTAAATGACGTAAATGTAAATGTAAATGTAAAGATGATATGTTTCATATGGTTCTGCCCAGAGTCTCTCATTTAAACTGTGTGTGATGACTACACTCCTGCCTTATGACTCATATATAGCATCATGACGGGAGTCCAGCTGTGTGTGTTTGTGTGTGTGGGTCTATGTTACACTCCTGCCCAGTGTTTCGTCACCCCTCCCTCTGTAACCCCCCTGTATGACGGTGCCCTGTGAGGAGTACAAATGAACCTGTCTAACTGTGTGTCTGTCTGTCTGTCTGTCTGTCTGTACGACGTGCGTACTTGCATATGTGTATGCAATGTGTGTAATACAGTGCTGTTTTGGGTTACATCTCCAGGAGTGTAGCAGAGCAGAGCCCTGGAGAGCAGCCCAGCCCTGGTCCGGTTTCAGCCCTGTTTCATCAGCCTGAATAGTGGAGTGTTCACCAGCCAGCGCCTGGCTAGAGGAACGTCAGCCAGCACCAGGCCGTCTCGCAGAGTGACGCAATGTGAACCCACAGCAGGCTAGGCATAGAAAATTAAGAACTTCTCCTCAACTGACCTTCCATTATGGTTGCATCCTAAATGGCACCCTATTATCTATTTAGTGCACTACTTTCGACCAGCAATGGGTATAGGGTGCCATTTGGGACACACATATGATCTAATAACATACGCTATATATACAAAAGTATGTGGACACCCCTTCAAATTAGTGGATTCGGCTATTTCAGCCACACCTGTTGCTGACAGGTGTATAAAATCGAGCACACAGCCATGCAATCTCCATAGACAAACATTGGCATAAAATGGCCTTACTGAAGAGCTCAGTGACTTTCAACGTGGCATCGTCACAGGATGCCACCTTTCCAAAAAGTCAGTTTGTCAAATTTCTGCCCTGCTAACTGTAAGTGCTGTTATTGTTAAGTGGAAACCTCTAGGAGCAACATCGGCTCAGCCGCGAAGTGGTAGGCCACACAAGCTCACAGAACGGGATAGCTGAGTGCTAAAGCACGTAAAAACGTCTGTCCTCTGATGCAACATTCACTACTGAGTTTCAAACTGCCTCTGGAAGCAACGTCAGCACATTAACTTTTCGTCGGGAGCTTCATGAAATTGGTTTCCATGGCCGAGCAGCCGCACACTAGCCTAAGATCACCATGCGCAATGCCAAGCATCACTGGAGTGGTGTAAAGCTCGCCGCCATTGGACTCTGGAGCAGTGGAAATGCGTTCTCTGGAGTGATGAATCATGCTTCACCATCTGGCAGTCCGATGGACTAATCTGGGTTTGCATAGTGCATAGTGTCAACTGTAAAGTTTGGTGGAGGAGGAATAATGGTCTGGGGCTATTTTTCATGGTTCTGGCTAGGACCCTTAGTTCCAGTGAAGGGAAATCTTAATGCTACGGCATACAATTACATTCTAGATGATTCTGTGCTTCCAACTTTGTGGCAACGGTTTGGGGAAGGCCCTTTCCTGTTTCAGCATGACAATGCCCCCGAGCACAAAACGAGGTCCATACAGATATAGTTTGTCGAGATCGGTGTGGAAGAACTTGACTGGCCTGCACAGAGCCCTGACTTCAACCCCATCGTACACCTTTGGGATGAATTGTAACGCCGACTGCGAGCCAGGCCTAATCGCCCAACATCAGTGCCCGACCTCACTAATGCTCTTGTTGCTAAATGGAAGCAAGTCCCTGCAGCAATGTTCCAACATCTAGTGGAAAGCCTTCCCAGAAGAGTGGAGGCTGTTATAGCAGCAACAGGGGGACCAACTCCATATTAATGGCCATGATTTTGGAATGAGATGTTTGATGAGCAGGTGTCCACATACTTTTGGTAATGTAGTGTAGAAAGAATATTAGATAATGGGGAACGTGTGTAAGCTACTGATCTACAAATAGATTAGACATTGAAGTCAAGTAGAGGAGAACATTGGCATAATGGTCATTTTGATATTAATGTTAAAGTATATTAATAGTAATTACACATGCCTGGAGAGAGCAATAAATAACTCAGCAAAAAAATAAACGTCCTCTCACTGTCAACTGCGTTTATTTTCAGCAAACTTAACATGTGTAAATATTTGTATGAACATAACAAGATTCAACCACTGAGACATAAACTGAGCAAGTTCCACAGACATTTGACTAACAGAAATGGAATTATGTGTCCTTGAACAAAGGTGGGGTCAAAAGTAACAGTAAGTACTGCAGTGCATCTCCTCCTCATGGACTGCACCAGATTTGGCAGTTCTTGCTGTGAGATGTTACCCCACTCTTCCACCAAGGCACCTGCAAGTTCCCGGACATTTCTGGGAGAATGGCCCTAGCCCTCACCCTCCGATCCAACAGGTCCCAGACGTGCTCAATGGGATTGAGATCCAGGCTCTTCGCTGGCCATGGCAGAACACTGACATTCCTGTCTTGCAGGAAATCACGCACAGAACGAGCAGTATGGCTGGTGGCATTGTCATGCCTTCAGGAAGGGTACCACATGAGGGAGGAGGATGTCTTCCCTGTAGCACACAGCATTGAGATTGCCTGCAATGACAACAAGCTCAGTCTGATGATGCTGTGACACACCGCCCCATACCATGACGGACCCTCCACCTCCAAATCAATCCCGCTCCAGAGTACAGGCCTCGGTGTAACGCTCATTCCTTCGAAGATTAACGCAAATCCGACCATCACCCCTGGTGAGACAAAACCGCGACTCGTCAGTGAAGAGCACTTTTTGCCAGTCCTGTCTGGTCCAGCGATGGTGGGTTTGTGCCCATAGGCGACGTTGTTGCCGGTGATGTCTGGTGAGGACCTGCCTTACAACAGGCCTACAAGCCCTCAGTCCAGCCTCTCTCAGCCTATTGCGGACAGTCTGAGCACTGGTGGATGGATTGTGCATTCCTGGTGTAACTCGGGCAGTTGTTGTTGCCAACCTGTACCTGTCCCGCAGGTGTGATTTTCAGATGTACCGATCCTGTGCAGGTGTTGTTACACGTGTTCTGCCACTGCGAGGACGATCAGCTGTCCGTCTTGTCTCCCTGTAGCGCTGTCTTAGGCGTCTCACAGTACGGACATTGCAATTTATTGCCCTGGCCACATCTGCAGTCCTCATGCCTCCTTGCGGCATGCCTAAGGCACGTTCATGCAGATGAGCAGGGACCCTGGGCATCTTTCTTTGGGTGTTTTTCAGAGTCAGTAGAAAGGCCTCTTTAGTGTCCTAAGTTTTCATAACTGTGACCTTAATTGCCTACTGTCTGTAAGCTGTTAGTGTCTTAACGACAGTTCCACAGGTACATGTGCATTAATTGTTTATGGTTCATTGAACAAGCATGGGAAACAGTGTTTAACCCTTTACAATGAAGATCTGTGAAGTTATTTGGATTTTTACGAATTATCTTTGAAAGACAGGGTCCTGAAAAAGGGACAATTCTTTTTTTGCTGAGTTTATATGGTTTTGATGGGTTGGAGAGAGATGGGACTGTTGTCGGAGACTTCTGTACTTGACTTTATATGGTGACTTTATACTCTCAGTGCTGGTTTCCCAGATACAGTTTAAACCTAGTTCTGGACTAAGAAGCACTTTCTATGGAGAATCGTCATTGAAAGAAAAGAAAAAAAAATGTATGCACTCACTAACTATAAGAGCGTCTGCTAAATGACTAAAATGTAAATGTAAAATGAACAAGCTTTTTAGTCCAGGACTAGGCTTCATACTGTATCTGTCTGGGAAAGCGGCCCTCAATGTTTTTCAATGGCATAATGCACAGATTGAAAAGCATCCTACATTATATAGGCCTCTAACACATCACATATTGAAACCACCATTATGCTTCAATCAGACTCACTCATGGAACACCCTAGCTGGGTAGTTATATACCTACCATTGACCTTCCATATAGCTAGCTACATACATTAACCTACCAGGAACACAAACCCTGCCACTTCATTCTGAATGGTCTGGAGGAGAACCCTGCCACTTCATTTCCATGACTGTCTGCTCCTAATAACGAGGTTAGTGTGTAACTAGACCAGAAAAAGATGGGCCCGTATGGGCCCTGGTCAAAAGTAGTGCACTATATAAAGGATAGGGTGCTATTTAAGGGATAGGGTGCCATTTGGGAAACACACATTTACATTCAGCCCTGGTCATAAACAATAAATTAAAGACCATATCAATCCCATCCCATCTGGTCTTCATTCACTAGAGCTCTCAGTTAGTGGTCTTCATTCTAATCTAGTCATGTAGTTGATCCTCATATTTAACAACCACTCTTTGTTAATCAGAACAAGAGAGATAGAGACAGTACACTGTATTGTATTCACATAAGTACTTTAATCAGGCACTTTGACAAGAAGAAAAAACATCTGGCACATCAGGGAAGATATATGATATGCGTGGGCATTCGGGGAACTATATCCTATGGGCTACGTTCGGTAAGAAAGAGGATGTACAATTTTATAAATAACAAACTGTAGAAACTGGTGAATGAACAAAGTAAAAGCTGGAAAACAAAACAACAATATCCCAGCCACAGAGATTGCTTGGGGGGCATCCCCGGGGGGTGGGCCCTGGCTTGGGGCCCCCTCCGAGGGGGGGGGGGGAAACCTCCCCGGGGGTTTGCGGGCGGCTTGCTGGGTGTCCTTGCCCCGGTGGGCTAGGGGTATGGGCGGGGGGGTCAACGGGGGGTTTCTCCCTTTGGGGGAGCGGGTCTTTTAGGGGGGCCCCCTCCCCCCCTTTTACCTCCTATCCCCCTGAAGACGTTTTGCCGGGCTGGAACTTTTGGCCCTTACATTTTTCCCAGTTTTTAACTCCCCAGCCCTGTCACGGCCCTATCGGAGGGCCGCCCCAGTGTTTCCCCCCCGGGAAAAAGGATATTTTAGGGGAAAATGTTAATCCCCCTCCTCCCCCGCCTCCTCCTCCCCCCTGAAGTGGACCGGCCCCCCGGGATTCCCCAACTCCGTTTTGGCCTTGAAAAGGGTTGGGGAGGGGGGGGAAGGGAGAAAAAAATTGGGGGCGCCCGGGGATAAAGTTGGCCCCGGGAAGTTTTTGGAGAAAAATGGGGAAAAGGGGTATGGGGGGGGAAAGGTTTTAAACCCCCCCCCGGTTGGGTGAAGGGGCTGGATGGGAGGATGGAGGGGGGGACCCCCCCAAAATCCCGGGGGAAGAAGGGTAAGGCCGGGGTTGTAGATGGGGTCGTTCCGGGGGTCCCATGACTTTAGTCTCCTCTGTTTTTTAGCATGGTCCGGGGGCCGGGAGAGCTGGAGGTCCAGCACCTGCCCCCTTTCCCTCTGACGTCTCGCCCCATCACACAAACGAGCCATCATGAAATCAATGAGGATGGCTCCCAGGGACACAGCGAACACGCTGACCAGCAGCAGGTTCAGTCCGACCCCACCCAAAGGAGGTGTGTGTCCGCAAGGTGGGCGGGGGGGGCCACACGGGACGTCTCCAAAGGGCTGTGGGCCTTCAGGTCAAGGGTCATCACACGGACCTCCCTCTTGGACCTGCCCAGGTGTCGGACGTGGCTGTCCATCTTCAGGGAAACCACGCCCGTCGATGCATTGACCTGGAAGTAGGGCGAGGGGTCAGCTAGGGAGTACAGAACAATCCCGTCCACCCCCTCGTCCTCGTCTCTGGCTGTCACCTGACCGATGCTCTGGCCCTTCTTTGCCCCCTCAGGAACCAGGAAGGAGAACTCTGAGTCGGAAAACACAGGGTCGTACTCATCCTCCCCCGTCACGTACACCTGGACGGTCACCGTGGCAGAGTAGTTCCCTGCATCCATGGCCAGAGCTACAAAGTTGAACAAGTTGACCTTCTCAAAGTCGAAGGTGGAGCGAGTCCGGACCTCGCCTGACATCTGGTTGACCAGGAAGGCGTCTTTCCCCTCTCCAGTCTTGTCCAACATGTAGTACCTCAGCTGTCCGAAGACTCCCGTGTCCTGGTCGATGGCGTGCAGCATGGTGACAAGGGCGTTGTGAGGCTGGTTCTCTCTGACGCTGGCGGTGAGGACGGGCAGAGGGAAGTAAGGTCTGTTGTCATTAATGTCCTTCACCTCCACAGTGACTGGAGCCAGTGCATAGTGACCCTGTCCATCTGACGCCTGCACAATGATCACATAGGATGCCTAGTAGGAGGGAGAGGGAGAGGGGGAGATAGAGAGAGCAGAGAGAGGGGGGTGTAGAGAGAGAGAGAGAGAGGGAAAGAGGGGGACAGAGAGAGATGGAGAGATAGAGAGAGAGATTAATACTTTCTTTATCGCTGAAGGGAAATGAATTGTCAGCAGCAGAATATACAAACAGGTGGATAACCAATGACCAATCCAAGTCTGCATCTATTTCAGTGTCAAACTATTTCCTACATAGTGCACTACTTTTGACCAGGGCCCATAGGGCTCTTTAAAAAGTAGTGCACTATATAGGAAATACGGTGCCATTTTGGGCACATCCCAAGCCAGAAAGTGCCATGGTACCTGTCTCTCACTGTCCAGTGGTCTCTGCAGCCTCAGGGCTCCGGTCCAGCGGTCCACCTGGAACATACCCGTCTCATCCCCAGAGCTGATCAGGTACTGCACCTTCCCTACGGCCGAGGAGTCTGGGTCTGTTGCAGACAGGCTAAGGACCTCAGTCCCTGTGGCTGCTCCTTCACTCAGCACCACACTGCAGGGTTCAAGGGGGTTTTATTAATCACTTTTACAAAAAACATGACATTTGGTTCCCCAGTGCAAACACATGTAATAGAGGAATTAAGGACATTTAACAAACAACAAAGTACCAAATTACCTGTACTCTGCCCTGCTGAACGCCGGAGGGTTGTCGTTAGTATCCGTCACACTGATCAGCGCAGAGACAGCCGAGCTCCTCTGGGGCACGCCGCGGTCCGACACGACCACGGTCAGGTTGTAACTGGACACCGCCTCGAAGTCCAACCCCTCACCGGTCAATACCAGGCTGCCTACTGTCTGGAAGCCCCGTCCTTCCAGGAAGCGCACGCTGCTCTCGATCTGGAAGGCATTGCCTTCGTTTCCGCTGGCTATGGTGAAGTCAAAGCCGCAGTTGTCGCGTGACGCGTCACCGTCGGTTGCCTCCAGGGTCAAGATGGTGGCGCCCGGAAGGCCGTCCTCTGAAACCGTGGCTCTGTACTCTGATTGGTGGAAGACGGGTGCATTGTCATTGACGTCAGTCACCTGGACCTGTACAGTAGCGATGGAGGAGAGGGCTGGTGTTCCCATGTCTCTGGACTCTATTACCACCAGGATAGAAGGGTTCTCAGAGTTAAACTCTGCCTGCTGGGTGATGAACAGGGTACCATTGCTGGGGTCGATGTAGAAGATGTCCCGGGTTGATGACATCACTTTGTAGGTGACACGGCCGTTCTCTCCAGAGTCACGATCCGTGGCTGTCACTGTGACAACTGCACTGCCAGCTGGGGAGTGCTCTGCCAGAGTCACCTGGGAAACACAAATACACACATGACCGGGTGTATTCAGAAATGTATTCAGAATAATTGAGGCATGTTGGACAGGCAGGTTAATGGTTAATGGTACCAGGCAGGGTTAGTAAACTAAATGAGGAAGATAGATACATACACACACATGGCATCATTATTGATCTGCATGTACATAGAAAAATGCAGCTAAATCTGATCAAGTTCTCATCGTCTCTTATGGCATTATTGCATCCTGCCATCACAAACGCAGATTTTCCAAGGTTAGTGGAGGCCAGTTAGAGGATAGACTACCTGGTAAAGATCCTGTGTGAACGTAGGAGCGTTATCATTGACATCCTCCACCAGTATGGTGAGGTTAGCTTCAGTCTGGTGTTTGGAGTCAGTAGCCCTGACAGTCAGCGTGTACCAGGTCCTATCTTCATAGTCCAGAGGGGCGGTCAGAGACACCCCGCCCCCATAGCGGTGGATCCCAAACACGCCCTGGGAGGACGGGTCCAGGTGGAGGGTGTAGGACAGGGCGGGGCCTGAGTCCACGTCATTTCCTGTCACCTGGGTTATTACCGAGCCAATCAGAGTGTCTGGAGGGAGAGGGGGGAGGGGAGAGGGGAGGGAGAGAGAATGAGGGAGATACTTTTTTTTATTGTTTATTTCACTTTTGTTTATTATCTATTTCACTTGCTTTGGCAATGTAAACATATGTTTCCCATGCCAATAAAGCCCCTTGAATTAGAGAGAGAGAGAGAGAGAGAGAGAGAGAGAGAGAGAGAGAGAGAGAGAGAGAGAGAGAGAGAGAGAGAGAGAGAGAGAGAGAGAGAGAGAGAGAGAGAGAGAAAAAACAGGGCTTGTGAGATTGTTATATATGGGAACAACACTATAGCTCTAGAACTAGCTCCCACCTCATAACATATCTTATTACATCATGTTGCTTTTTATGAATATATTGCAGACTTCTGATTTCTTTTTTTTTTTTAATTGGATACTTTATACAGGAAACTGTAGACTTCAGATGTACAGCAGGATATGAACAGAGGGGAACTTGGCTTCAGAACGACTCATAAAAGGGTCAGTTTATCAGTGAGAGCTGCTGAGTGCTGCTAGAGAGAGGAGTGAGGATCAGTGATAAGATCACTGAACTAAAGGTTCACTGTTAAATTGACTGCGTCTCAAATGTCTGAGACACTTGATACATACAGTTGAAGTCGGAAGTTTACATACATCTTAGCCAAATACATTTAAACTCAATGATTTGTTTCACAAGAAAAAATATTTTGCATCTTCAAAGTGGTAGGCATGTTGTGTAAATCAAATGATACAAACCCCCCAAAAATGAATTTTAATTCCAGGTTGTATGGCAACAAAATAGGAAAGATGCCAAGGGGGGTGAATACTTTCGCAAGCCACTGTAGGCCTTGAAATACATCCACAGGTACACCTCCAATTGACTCAAATTATGTCAATTAGCCTATCAGAAGCTTCTAAAGCCATGACATCATTTTCTGGAATCTTCCAAGCTTTTTAAAGGCACAGTCAACTTAGTGTATGTAAACTTCTGACCCACTGGAATTGTGATACAGTGAATTATAAGTTAAATAATCTGTCTGTAAACAATTGTTGGAAAAATTACTTGTGTCATGCACAAAGTAGATGTCCTAACCGACTTGCCAAAACTATAGTTTGTTAAAAAGAAATATGTGGAGTGGTTGAAAAACTAGTTTTAATGACTCCAACCTAAGAGTATGTCAACTTCAGACTTCAACTGTACACCCCTTGGTCAAAAGTAGTTCACTACATAGTGAATAGGGTGTCAGTTAAGCATAGTTGGGTTCAATTACTATTTCAAATCATTCAAATACTTTGAGTGTTTGCTTTAGCCTGCCTGAAGTGTCTGATGGGCGGGGTTTGTACTTTTGCGAAGCCCAGCTAAAGTATTTAAAATAAATTCAAATAATATTTTAACCCGGGTCTGCGGTTGAGACCCGTGGATCATTGACTTACTCTCTGGTACTCTGATCTCGCACGGCAGGGGGATTGTAGGACTGTTGTCATTGAGGTCCACGATGATCACAGTGAGGGTCGCCGAGCCGGCCAATCGTGGCGTGCCCCAGTCCGTCGCCGTAACAACCAGCCTGGTGCCATGGAAATGAAAAAATAAACTGTCAGTTGGAGTTTGGTTCTTATCTTTTATGTTTCAGGTTTCATAACCTTTCATCTCCTGCTGTCTTACATCATAACCTGTTGTAGCCCAGAGCATGACAGATATTTAGTTTCCAATACAAAGAGAGAGAGAGAGTACAGGAACAGTGAGAGTATTTATAGACTGAAAACAAAGGTTAGCCCGCTGAGGGAAACCACATGGCAGGCAGATTGTGAACAAACACACACATACACATACTTTCACACACACACACACACACACACACACACACACACACACACACATCCCAAGGCCCTGCCCCTCACTTGGTTTGTGTCCAGATCTCTCGGTCCATGATAGCGGCGGTGGTGATGCTTCCGGTCAGCGGGTCGATCTTGAACAGGCCGCTGAGAGACGATGACTGCAGGCTGTAGGTCACCTGACTATTCTGGCCCTGGTCCAGGTCATCAGCCACCACCTGCATGGGACAGACAGGAAATCACATGACCGAGGTCAGAAAGAAAATCTAAACAAAAAAAGCAGTCTTCTGATATCACTGGTTTTCTTTTGTCTTAAAAGCAAAATGTACTTGTGTTTATGGTTAGCCATTTCCAATCAGTTTTATTGTGTAGGAAACTGATTTTGCTGTCATTGGCTGTTGTTCACCCTTCCCCTGCTGTTAATTGTTTTGAATGTTGTTTTGTTTTGTTTTTGAAAGCAATACAAAAAAAATATCAAAAATAATAATAATCTGACAACACCTGGGGACAGACAGGAAGTCACATGGTCAGAGAGGAAATAAATCAAAACAAATAACAGATGTACAACAGCTGTGGAACAGTAACAGGACCTGGTGATGGATATTGGTCTTGGAACTGTTGGAACAGAGAGTTAAAAAAAGGTTCTAAATGGCCTTGGCTTCATTCAGCATACAGCTGAGTCTATATACTCAACAGGGACGTTGGAAACACACTGTAGTATAGGGACAGGAACAGACAGTCACCTCTCAGAACTACCGCAGCAGCACTGAAACTATCCAGATCGTCTCTACTGTCTGAGCAGAGCATCTTCTAGCCCACAACCTCACACTCCATCTACAGCCAAGCATAATACAGGTGTGTATGAGTGTGTGCACGCTCGTTAGTGTACCTACCTGTATGATAGGGAAATTATATCCCTGTGCCTCTCGTATGTAGGCTACATAGTTCTGAAGCTGGAAGCGTGGCAGGTTGTCATTGACGTCCTGCAGGTTCAGGTTGACCGCCATGAAGGAACTGGAGGATGCAGTTTCAGCCTTCACCACTAGGCGGAGTCTAGGGGTCTCCTCATAGTCCAGCCCCATGGAGCTCTGTACCCAGATCTCACCTGGTTAGAACAATAACAAGGATAGATCTCACCTGGTTAGAACAATAACTAGGACAGATCTCACCTGGTTAGAACAATAACTAGGACAGATCTCACCACTTTAGAACAATAACTAGGACAGATCTCAATTCTTTAGAACAATAACAAGGACAGATCTCACCACTTTAGAACAATAACAAGGGGCTGAGAACCAATTGGGCAATGGATATTCATCCTTCTCCTATTCCTTATGATATTAATCAGGGATGTAGTGGAGTGTAAAGGCTGTTTACACACCTTTTTCATACGGTGAATCACAAAAATGTGTTTACGTACTTTTTGTCAAAATGGGTTTTATATCATTCCCCAGCCCAGCGGCTTACCAGTGGAGGAGCTGATTCCAAAGGAGTGTAATGTGTTGCCACTGAAGATGCTGTAACTGATCCCACTACGGGATCCATCAGGGTACTGGGCCTGAGTCTGCACCACAGTGGTACCTGGAGGAGGACAACACACACCTCACTATCACACTGTGTTCTCAACACACCTCACTATCACACTGTGTTCTCAACACACCTCACTATCACACTGTGTTCTCAACACACCTCACTATCACACTGTGTTCTCAACACACCTCACTATCACACTGTGTTCTCAACACACCTCACTATCACACTGTGTTCTCAACACACCTCACTATCACACTGTGTTCTCAACACACCTCACTATCACACTGATTACTTACATTATACACACCTCACTATCACACTGATTACTTACATTATACACACCTCACTATCACACTGATTACTTACATTATACACACCTCACTATCACACTGATTACTTACATTATACACACCTCAGTCTCACACGTATTACTTATGTGCTGGAAATGTTTAATGTTTGTGCTTTTCTAATAACTCATTTCTGTGTTCTATTCACGTGCTTTTCTAATAACCGTTTCCTGTGTTCATGCAAGTGACTGACTGAACGAATCCTCACTATCAGTAGCTGCAATTTGGCAGTATGCCCAGACCTTTGTTTTGACAACGAAATATATCTCAGTTTCAAGGTCTCAGCTTAGAGAGAAGAAGCCTCGTGAGGTATTGGTCTGTCACATGTTATGAACTAGTATTGGTCGGTCACATGAATGAAACAAAACGTTAATGATGAATTAATTATGCTAAATCATGCAAATATAACTTGTCTGTGTATAGCCGTATATAAGATAACTGCTGGGACTGCCCCGGCAGAGCTCCTGATTGACATGTGTACTATGGTGCATTGAGTTGGTTGGAACCTCTCCAGCACGCTGACAATAAACAATTATTCATTTAAGATTGACTTTGAGTGTCCCTGTGTTAGAATTTCCACAATACTTACATTATACACTCCTCAGTCTCACACTGATTACTTACATTATACACACCTCAGTCTCACACTGATTACTTACATTATACACACCTCAGTCTCACACAGATTACTTACATTACACACACATAAGTCTCAAACTGATTAAGGATTACAGACAGATTACCAGGACGTGTACTCTGAGCATGCGCTGACCAACTGGCAAGTGTCTTCACTGACATTTTCAACATGTCCCTGACTGAGTCTGTAATACCAACATGTTTCAAGCAGACCACCATAGTCCCTGTGCCCAAGAACACTAAGATAACCTGCCTAAATGACTACCGTCCCGTAGCACTCACGTCTGTAGCCATGAAGTTCTTTGAAAGGCTGGTCATGGCTCACATCAACACCATTATCCCAGAAACCCTAGACCCACTCCAATTTGCATACCGCCCCAACAGATCCACAGATGATGCAATCTCTATTGCACTCCACACTGCCCTTTCCCACCTGGACAAGAGGAACACCTATGTGAGAATGCTATTCATTGACTACAGCTCAGCGTTCAACACCATAGTGCCCTCAAAGCTCATCACTAAGCTAAGGACCCTGGGACTAAACACCTCCCTCTGCAACTGGATCCTGGACTTCCAGGTGGTAAGGGTAGATAACAACACATCTGCCATGCTGATCCTCAACACGGGGGCCCCTCAAGGGTGCGTGCTCAGTCCTGTACTCCCTGTTCACCCATGACTGCATGGCCAGGCACGACTCCAACACCATCATTAAGTTTGCCGACGACACAACAGTCTCACACTGATTACTTACATTATATACACCTCAGTCTCACACTGATTACTTACATTATACACACCTCAGTCTCACACTGCTTACTTACATTATACACACCTCAGTCTCACAACAAAACAGATACACCTTAGTATCACACTCTTTGAATCAAAGAAAAATCGCCTGTTCCTACCTTTGGCAGCGTTCTCTTGCAGACTGATGTCTCTAGCGTGGCGTGAGAAGCGGATCCCCTTGTAGGTCTGTTCTCTGATGTAGATGACCACCACCCCTAGAGAGGACTGGGCTGGGCTACCCTGGTCCATAGCCTCTACAATCAGAGTCCTCTGGCCCTGGGTCAGTCCCTGCAGCTTCTCTGTAGCCTGGGATGAATGAATGAATGAAAAATATTTTCGTCTGAAGTCTCCCTAAGTAAGCCCACCCTTACAGGGGTTATTTAACACATACAGTGGCTTGCGAATGTATTCACCCCCCTTGGCATTTTTCCTATGTTGTTGCCTTACAACCTGGAATTAAAATGGATTTTTGGGGGGGTTGTATCATTTGATTTACACAACATGCCTACCACTTTGAAGATGCTAAATGTTTTTTCTTGTGAAGCAAACAAGAAATAAGACAAAAAAACAGAAACCTTGAGCGTGCATAACTATTCACTCCCCAATATCAATACTTTGTAGAGCCACCTTTTGCAGCAATTACAGCTGCAAGTCTCTTGGGGTATGTCTCTATAAGCTTGGCACATCTAGCCACTGGGATTTTTGCCCATTCTTCAAGGCAAAACTGCTCCAGCTCCTTCAAGTTGGATGGGTTCCGCTGGTGTACAGCAATCTTTAAGTCATACCACAGATTCTCAATTGGATTGAGGTCTGGGCTTTGACTAGGCCCTTCCAAGACATTTAAATGTTCCCCTTAAACCACTCGAGTGTTGCTTTAGCAGTATGCTTAGGGTCATTGTCCTGCTGGAAGGTGAACCTCTGGAATCTCTGGAAGACTGAAACAGGTTTCCCTCAAGAATTTCCCTGTATTTAGCGCCATCCATCATTCCTTCAATTCTGACCAGTTTCCCAGTCCCTGCCGATGAAAAACATCCCCACAGCATGATGCTGCCACCACCATGCTTCACTGTGGGGATGGGGTTCTTGGGGTGATGAGAGGTGTTGGGTTTGCGCCAGACATAGCGTTTTCCTTGATGGCCAAAAAGCTCAATTTTAGTCTCATCTGACCAGAGTACCTTCTTCCATATGTTTGGGGAGTCTCCCACATGCATTTTGGCGAACACCAAACGTGTTTGCTTATTTTTTTCTTTAAGCAATGGCTTTTTCCTGGCCACTCTTCCGTAAAGCCCAGCTCTGTGGAGTGTATGGCTTAAAGTGGTCCTATGGACAGATACTCCAATCTCCGCTGTGGAGCTTTGCAGCTCCTTCAGGGTTATCTTTGGTCTCTTTGTTGCCTCTCTGATTAATACCCTCCTTGCCTGGTCCGTGAGTTTTGGTGGGCGGCCCTCTCTTAGCAGGTTTGTTGGGGTGCCATATTCTTTCCATTTTTTAATAATGGATTTAATGGTGCTCCATGGGATGTTCAAAGTTTCCGTTTTTTTTTTATAACCCAACCCTGATCTGTACTTCTCCACAACTTTGTCCCTGACCTGTTTGGAGAGCTCCTTGGTCGTCATGGTGCCGCTTGCTTGGTGGTGCCCCTTGCTTAGTGGTGTTGCAGACTCTGGGGCCTTTCAGAACAGGTGCATATATACTGAGATCATGTGACAGATCATGTGACACTTAGATTGCACACAGGTGGACTTTATTTAACTATTTATGTGACTTCTGAAGGTAATTGGTTGCACCAGATCTTATTTAGGAGCTTCATAGCAAAGGCGGTGAATACATATGCCACCACATTTCCATTATTTATTTTTTTGAATTTTTTTAAACAAGTACTTTTTTTCATTTCACTTCACCAATTTGGACTATTTTGTGCATGTCCATTACATGAAATCCAAATAAAAATCCATTTAAATTACAGGTTATAATGCAACAAAATAGGAAAAATGCCAAGGGGGATGAATACTTTTGCAAGGCACTGTAAATACCCTGATTAATAATGTAACAATACCTGGATGTCCCCAGTCAGAGAGTTGATGGTGAAGCCCCGGACAGGGCTGGCGAAGCGGTAGAACACTGAGCCGTTGGCCCCAAAATCACGGTCCTCCGCCCGCATGGTGGCCAGGACGCGATGAGAGGAGACACTGGAGAAGAAGAACAAGAACAAGAATATTATTATAATTACAAAAATTCCTGTACATGGATGTCCAACTAAAACTTCTTCTGCTTTTATTCTAACCCCTCCGAAAGACACATACAGAGGGAGGTTGGAGCAGAGGGCAGCCATACTACTATGCCCGTTTAGCAGTTTAGGGGTTACGTGCCTTGCTCAAGGGCACAACAGTAGGTGATGGCATCTAAGACACACAACAGCAGGTGATGGCACGCAACAAAGAAGACATGTGAAAGACAAAACTGTACAGATAAATCCTCCGGATGCAAGCCCACTCCAAAACAGATTCTTCCCTGTCAGACATGGGATTCGAACCGGCAAACTTCCTGTTGTTGTCCTGCTTCGCTAACCTCTAGTAAACCTACCTGGAGGCAGAGATGTTCATGACCAGGGGGTCCTGGATGAAGAATGGAGCGTTGTCGTTCACGTCCTGTACATACACGTTGACCGTGGCGGTGGAGTTGCGAGGGCTGGCGGGGGACGAGTCTATGGCGCAGACATCGAAAGTGTACGACGCGGTTCGTTCCCGGTCGAGCGGAGCGGCGGTAATGACATGTCCCGTGTGCTGGTCAATGATGAACATGCCCTTTGAACCACGCGACAGGAAGTATAGCACCTGGGATTAGAACAGATTATAGTAGATTAGATAAAATCACTGTTAGGTTTAATGAAGCCTTAATTAACCCTTTGAAGGTCTAGATAGATGGCTTCCTTTTGTTAGCAAAATTTCATAAAGGGTGGCAAAAGTGTTATGCTACATTTGGCAAAACTTAAGGGGGCTCAGGAGGCATAAGGCTCTAGTCAAAAGTAGTACACTATGTAGGGACTAGGGTGCCATTTGGGACGCAACCTATGAGTTCAGTCTGTGTACCTGGCTGTTAGACCCTTCGTCCAGGTCAGTAGCAGAGACCTCCAGCACTAGGGAGCCAATAGGAACGTCCTCAGGGAGGTCAGCGGTGTAGCTGGGGCTGGTGAACTGGGGGCTGTGGTCGTTGACATCCAGGAGCGTGACCTCTACTGTGGCTGTGCTGCTCAGGGCCGGAGAGCCCCCGTCAAGGGCTGTCACTGTCAGACTGTACCTGGCCCTACGTTCCCTATCCAGCGGTCTGGAGGTGGAGAGAACACCTGACTTCCTGTCCATACAGAAGTCACCTGATGGGTCGCCAGCTAGAGGAGGGAGGGAGAAAGTGGGAGAAACAGAAGATGAAAGGTAAATCTCACAACATTGCGATCAATGGATCAATCAATCAGTAAATTATGAATTCAATTGGACTCCTGGGATCTACAAGTAGTTGGCTCTTACCTGTAATCTTGTAGGTCATCTCTCCGCTGTCCCCAGTGTCCAGGTCAGTAGCTCTGAGAGTGAACAGCTCAACAGCCTCCATGTTCTCAGGCACCTCCAGGCTGTAGTACAGTCTACTGAACGCTGGGGCGTTGTCATTCTCATCCAACACCCGGATCCTCACTGATGCCCGGGCAAAGTTAGGAGGCACGCCACCGTCTCGGGCATACACTGGACAAAAGGGAAGATTAGGAATTAAACAAAGCTTCAGCAGTCTAAAAGTGTTCGTTATATATTTATTAACTAAACCATATTGTGTTTCCTAGAGATATTTAAGAAAAACTGAGAAAATAATACCAACATTATCATTGTACCACTCATGTATCCCATCAAATCAGAACTATAAAAACATGGCCAGTTTGGAATGTTGTGTGTTACTCATATAAAGGGCCAGTTAACTGTTTTAGTGGTTAGGATTAGGATTAAGGGTCAGGGATAAGGATCAGGGTTAGGGCCAGGAGTTAGGCTGAGGGGTTACAGGTTAAGGGTCAGGGGTCAGGGTTAGATGTTATGGTCAGAGCCAGTTACCTGTCAGTGTATATTGTTCCTGTTCCTCTCTGTCCAGGGCTTTAGTGGTGGTTATAACACCTGTAGCTGGGTGAATGCTGAAACCCTCCTCAGAGATGCCTCCATATGTCAACTGGCCATTGGTACCTGGAGAGAGAGAGAGACAGAAAGAAAAAGAAAGAGAGAGAAGAAGCATATGAAGTCAAACCCTAATACTATCTGTCAGTGGCTTCCAATCCGCACCCTACACCATCCCCTTGACCCTTACCCTTCAATGTTCTGAAGATCTGAAGGGTCTGGGTAGGTCTAAACACCGTAGTAGTGGTGGAGCTTCCACCATACTGCTTCCATCTTACAGATACAGTTTGCAAACATCAAAGGGTTAGGGCCAAGGGGAAGTGGTAGGGAGAAGGATTGGAGCCGGCTGTGCAAGTCAAATGGACATCACTTTTCATAGGGTGTTGGGCCGGCAGAGTCCTATTCCATTCAGTCATGTTATACTTTCAACCCACTCTACCCCCGGGCACTGAAAACATTCGCAAATAAGTGTTTGCGAAGAAAGAGCAAACACAGCAGCATTCCTGTTTTCATTTGTTTGTAGTTGGTTTTGCTGTGTAAGCGGTTGGCTGGGCTGCACCAGGCGGGCGGAGGCTGGGAGATTGAGTGTGTGTGTGTGTGTGTGTTGTGTGATAGCGTGCTAACAGTGAAAGACTCTGGCACCATCACCTTACCCCACTAATCACCCTGGAGAGAAACTTTATAATCCTTCTGGGTTATGTGCTCTTGACTAACTCCAGGGGAATGTGAACACACACACACACACACACACACAGACACACACACACACACACACACACACACACACACACACACACTCACCATCCCTCAGCACGGTCTTCAATTAAAACCAACTGTTACTGGTGAAGCTGATGATGTGAACATGCGTTGAACACATGGAGGATCAACACTTAGAACAACAGGCTCTGCTGGCTGACACTGAGTTCTATTTTGTTTAAGAAACAGTACAGCAAATACGTAGAAGAACTGTGTGTCATCATATGTACTTTGTATATTACTATGCCATAAAGAAAGCCACCATAACATATAGTATATGATGAGGGCAATGCAGTCTTATGTGCTTGTCAGTACTGTACACTATGTATGTAACGACTGGATCTCCTGTGTTAGCCCACTGAGCTCAAGCCTAGCATCTCTCACCTTGGTCCAGGTCGGAGGCCGACACCACCAGAACAGTGGTTCCTGCAGGCTGGTTCTCTGTAATCTGGGCTTGGTACTGGTTCTCCTGGAACCAGGGCACCTCGTCATTCACATCGATAACCTGGACAGACAGCAGCTGGCTGGACGAGAGTACTGGTACCCCGTGGTCCTGGGCTACGATGGTCAGGTTGAACAGGTCCTGCTCCTCCCGGTCGATGGGCTTCAGGATAGAGAGAGAACCTGGAAAAGTAGAGGAGCGGAGTTAGAGAGGGAGCCTGGGGTGGAGGAGAGAAGTGGGGGTAGAGAGGGAGCCTGGGGTGGAGGAGAGAAGTGGGGGTAGAGAGGGAGCCTGGGGTGGAGGAGAGAAGTGGGGGTAGAGAGGGAGCCTGGGGTGGAGGAGAGGAGAAGGGGTTAGAGAGGGAGCCTGGGGTGGAGGAGAGAAGTGGGGGTAGAGAGGGAGCCTGGGGTGGAGGAGAGAAGTGGGGGTAGAGAGGGAGCCTGGGGTGGAGGAGAGAAGTGGGGGGTAGAGAGGGAGCCTGGGGTGGAGGAGAGAAGTGGGGGTAGAGAGGGAGCCTGGGGTGGAGGAGAGGAGAAGGGGTTAGAGAGGGAGCCTGGGGTGGAGGAGAGGAGAGGGGTTAAAGAGGGAGCCTGGGGTGGAGGAGAGGATAAGGGGTTAGAGAGGGAGCCTGGGGTGGAGGAGAGGAGAAGGGGTTAGTGAGGGAGCCTGGGGTGAAGGAGAGGAGAGGGGTTAGAGAGGGAGCCTGGGGTGGAGGAGAGGAGAAGGGGTTAGAGAGGGAGCCTGGGGTGAAGGAGAGGAGAGGGGTTAGAGAGGGAGCCTGGGGTGGAGGAGAGGAGAGGATTTAGAGAGGGAGCCTGGGGTGGAGGAGAGGAGAGGGGTTAGAGAGGGAGCCTGGGGTGGAGGAGAGGATAAGGGGTTAGAGAGGGAGCCTGGGGTGAAGGAGAGGAGAGGGGTTAGAGAGGGAGCCTGGGGTGGAGGAGAGGAGAGGATTTAGAGAGGGAGCCTGGGGTGGAGGAGAGGAGAGGGGTTAGAGAGGGAGCCTGGGGTGGAGGAGAGGATAAGGGGTTAGAGAGGGAGCCTGGGGTGGAGGAGAGGAGAGGGGTTAGAGAGGGAGCCTGGGGTGGAGGAGAGGATAAGGGGTTAGAGAGGGAGCCTGGGGTGGAGGAGAGGAGAGGGGTTAGAGAGGGAGCCTGGGGTGGAGGAGAGGAGAAGGGGTTAGAGAGGGAGCCTGGGGTGGAGGAGAGGAGAAGGGGTTAGAGAGGGAGCCTGGGGTGGAGGAGAGAAGAAGATACAGATTAAAGGATGAAGAGAGATCCTAGGGAGTGGAGAGGTCCTTATGGACCCTGGTCAAAAGTAATAAAATCAAATATTATTTGTCACATGCGCCGAATACAACAGGTGTAGACCTTACAGTGAAATGCTTACTTACAAGCCCTTAACCAACAATGCAGTTTTAAGAAAGAATACCAAAAAAATACAATATAAAATAATACAAAATAAAAGTAAAAAATAATTAAAGGGCAGCAGTAAAAATAACAATAGCGAGGCTATATAGAGGGGGTACCGGAACCGAGTCAATGTGCGGGGGCACCGGTTAGTCGAGGTAATTGAGGTAATATGTACATGTAGGTAGAATTATTAAAGTGACTATGCATAGATAATAAACAGAGAGTAGCAGCAGCATAAAAAAAATATGATTAGATGTCTGGGTAGCCATTTGATTAGATGTTCAGGAGTCTTAGAAGCTGTTTAGAAGCCTCTTGGACCTAGACATGGCGCTCCGGTACCGCTTGCCGTACGGTAGCAGAGAGAACAGTCTATGACTAGTGTGGCTGGAGTCTTTGACAATTACACCACCTGGTATAGAGGTCCTGGATGGCAGGAAGCTTGGCACCAGTGATGTACTGGGCCGTACGCACTACCCTCTGTAGTGCCTTGTGGAGGCCAAGCAGTTGCCATACCAGGCATTGATGCAACCAGTCAGGATGCTCTCGATGGTGCAGCTGTAGAACCTTTTGAGGATCTGAGGACCCATGCCAAATCTTTTCAGTCTCCTTAGGGGGAATAGGTTTTGTCGTGCCCTCTTCACAACTGTCTTGGTGTGCTTGGACCATGTTAGTTTGTTGGTGCTGTGGACACCAAGGAACTTGAAGCTCTCAACCTGCTCCACTACAGCCCCGTCGATGAGAATGGGGGTGTGCGCGATCCTCTTCTTTTTCCTGTAGTCCAAAATCATCTCCTTTGTCTTGATCACGTTGAGGGAGAGGTTGTTGTCCTGGCACCACACGGCCAGGTTTCTGACCTCCTCCCTGTAGGCTGTCTCGTCGTTGTCGGTGATCAGGCCTACCACTGTTGTGTCATCGGCAAACTTAATGATGGTGTTGGAGTCGTGCCTGGCCATGCAGTCATGAGTGAACAGGGACTACAGGAGGGGACTGAGCACGCACTCCTGAGGGGCCCCTGTGTTGAGGATCAGCGTGGCGGATGTGTTGTTACCTACCCTTACCACCTGGGGGGCGGCCCGTCAGGAAGTCCAGGATCCAGTTGCAGAGGGAGGTGTTTAGTCCCAGGGTCCTTAGCTTAGTGATGAGCTTTGAGGGCACTATGGTGTTGAAGGCTGAGCTGTAGTCAATGAATAGCATTCTCATATAGGTGTTCCTTTTGTCCAGGTGTGAAAGGGCAGTGTGGAGCGCAATAGAGATTGCATCATCTGTGGATCTGTTGGGGCGGTATACAAATTGGAGTGGGTCTAGGGTTTCTGGGATAATGGTGTTGATGTGAGCCATGACCAGCCTTTCAAAGCACTTCATGGCTACAGACGTGAGTGCTACGGGTCTGTAGTCATTTAGGCAGGTTACCTTAGTGTTCTTGGGCACAGGGACTATGGTGGTCTGCTTGAAACATGTTGTTATTACAGACTCAGACAGGGAGAGGTTGAAAATGTCAGTGAAGACACTTGCCAGTTGGTCAGCGCATGCTCGGAGTACACGTCCTGGTAATCCGTCTGGCCCTGCGGCTTTGTGAATGTTGACCTTAGTTGGGATGCAGTGAACTTAGTTGGGATGCAGGGTGCTATTTGGGACGCAGCCTCAGCCAGTCCCTCTCCCTACCTAGTATGCAGTCACACCCTGTGAAAGGTCCCAGTGCTCTCTAGTCCAGCACAACTCTGCTAGCTTCAACTTCTACTGCTAGCTTCACTTCTCTGCTAACTTCAACTTTCACAGCTAGCTTTAACACACTGCTAGCTTCAACTTTCACTGCTAGCTCCAACCCTCAGCTAGTGTCAACTTTCACTGCTAGCTTCAACTTTCACTGCTAGCTCCAACACTCTGCTAGCTTCAACTTTCACTGCTAGCTCCAACACTCTGCTAGCTTCAACTTGCACTGCAAGCTTCACAACTCTGCTAGCTTCAGCTTTCACTGCTAGCGTCACTTCTCTGCTAGATTCATATTTACCAGTCATTCCTCCCTCTCCGTCGGAGGCCAAGCGCTGCTCCTTGCCAAGAGCTTTACTTACTTACTTACACACACCCACCCACCCTGTCCACCCAGTCATCTGTGTGTGTGTGTGGATCTATTCCCATGAAAGGCAGAAACAAAACACCAAAGAACCCCAACCTCAGACTGCTGGGAACCATTAAAGTAGCGATTAGAACTGCATGTGTGTGTGTGTGTGTGTGTGTTCACTTTGATAACACCCACACACACGCACAATATTTGGTATTTTGTTCTTCTGGGCTTTGTTGTGGTGTGTGATACACACGTTGACCCTGGCTCCACCCCTCCCCCACCGCCCCACCAATCAGGAACCAAGGAATCCCCTGGTCGGCCGAGGGGATAGAAACAGGAAGCTGTCAAGATCTATCAGGTGTGTCACAGAGAGAGGGCGGCCATCTTGATCTGGTTCCAGTATATGTGAGTGTGTGTGTGTGCGCACGCATGTGTGTGTGTGTGTGTGGTGCCCATCTTGAACTGGTTCCAGCCATGCAGGTAATTAGTCAGTATAATGACAGTTAATGTCATGAGTTAATCCTCTGACCACCTGGTCTGCTCCTATCCTATCCTGTCCACCAGCCCAGGCCAGGGTCTACGATGACAGGAGAAATGGTCCCATCTCTACACATTCTGTTTTGGTTATGTTCCCATTACACCACCACAACAGAGCTATGTGTAGGAGAAGCCTAGTACAGATCATGGTAACCTTGAATCCTTCTGGGTGGAGGATGGGTGTCTCCTAACTCTATTAGGGGTTCTTTCCCCCTCCACCAGGCTCAATGGAAATATTAAATAATCAAACTATGTGTCAAGTTTCCCTGACCCAGATTAATCCCAGTCAACTCCTGGACTAAGCCTCTCCATTTGGGAACACCTTTGGTCCAGGTGTTGGCTTAATCTAGGTCTGAGAATCCGCCCCTGAAAGTTTTTTTCTTGTTCTTTTTTATCAACTTGTGTAAGACGACGCTGTTCCCTAGACTAATCCGATTAATAGAAGAAACTAATAGAATGTCTAACATGAGAAGAAACATGTGAGAGCAAGGAAACATCTTTACCTTAGTTCACCCCAGTCTTCAGAACTGTGACGGCTCTACTCTAATACAACCATACATATACAGTACAACACTACGTAAACCAAAGAGACTGGAATTGGAAACATCCAAAATATGTTTTCCATGTTTCTCTCTTTCTCTCTCTCTCTCTCTCTCTCCTCTCTCTCTCCTCCTCTCCCTCTCTCTCTCTCTCTCTCCTCTCTCTCTCTCGCCTCCTCCATCCTCTCTCTCTCTCTCTCTCTCTCACCTGCCCCCCCTCTCTATCTCTCTCTCTCTTTCTCGTGGTCCCCTTCCCTGCCCTCTCTGCCCCCCTCCCCCCTCTCCTCTCTCCTCTTTCCTCTCTCTCTCTCTCTCTCTCTCTCTCTCTCCTCGATCCCCCCTCCTCTTACCCATGTGTTATTAGTGACCAGGCTTAGGACGGGATCACTGAGGAGTCACAGCGGCTGAAACTATTCCAGCCACTAACTCTGACCATACTAAAGGCTCAGGGGCAAGTTATCTCAGAGTACGGAGATACAGAGAGAAAACAACAAACCCCAAAACAGAACCAACACAACCCCCCTCCTCCCATCCCCTCCTGCCTCACTCTCTCTTTGACGGTTGCGGCTCATTTAACCATGAAATCGAAATGGAGTCAGTGCTGTGCCCTCTCTCTGCTCTGCTCCCAGGGCCAGGTAATGAGAAGGAGAGGGAAGCCCTAATCTCAGCGATGCACGGCAGGCCTGGTGTGTATGTGTGTCTGTGTGTGTGCGTAATCTCAGCGCAGCACGGCAGCCCTGCCAGTTGCGTGTCTAGCAGTGTGTGTTTACTGCCAGCCTCTCCTCGCTGCGGCCTTCTGCTGTGGAAAAAGTTGTTAAACTGCAGCCAGATAGCTGGATCGTTACTTACAGTGGTGGTGGTTGTTACAGCAGCAGCAGTGTTGGTGGTGGTAGGGTTTAGTGCTCAGGTAGGCATGCCTACGCAATGCACTGGGGTAACTTCGTTAACTCTGATTCGTCTCTCACACGACATCTATTCACACTTCCCTGTTTATACTGTTTTAACTGTGCTGGGGCCTGATTATAGGTTGAACCTTATGAGACTCTCTCACATACCCAACCACATGCAAGCTTGGAATATGGTACCAATGGCCTTCTGACATCACAGCATGTGTTTACAGCACAGCTAGCAACAAAATGATTGCTCTCGTGAGAAAACAATAACGTATGCCAGTGTTACCGACCGGGTTTGAACCCGGTCGTCTGCATGCCACAAGGCTGTGTTATCCAGCTGAGCTAAAGCCTAGGCATTAGCTTGGGGAGCTGACAAAAGTCTCCTGGTCTCAGACAAGGTTACCTTTTCTGTGAGCGTGGTTCACCAAACCACTTCCATTACACTAGGAGTTGTTTAAATGACCCACCAGTATTAAGGTTGAGGCTGAACGTCCCTCCAGCGTTCCCAGTCTCGATGAAGTAGCTGACCCGTCCGTTCTCCCCCTGGTCGGCATCTCGCGCCACGACGTAGAGAACCACGAAGCCCACAGGCTGGTCCTCCATGACGCTGACCGCGGAAGGCGAGCTAAACACTGGAGCATTGTCGTTCTCGTCTGTCACAAACACCCTCGCCGTCACCGAGCCCCAGCGCTGTTGGCTGGCGTTCAGGGCGGAGTCTGTCGCCTGGACGACCAGGATGAGGGAAGAAGTGACCTCATGGTCCAGTTCCTGCGCAAGGGTCAGGACGCCAGTGGAAGGGTGAAGGGTCAGGAGGTCTGGGAGGTCAGGGTACTGGAACATAGTAGAATTAAATATAACTTGATCAATCTAGGGTACTGGAACAGAGCAGAATTGAATATAACGTTTTTAGTCCAGGGTACTGGAACAGAGTCGAATACAATATAACTTTATTGGTCCAGAGTACTGAAACAGAGGAGAAGAGAATATAACTTTATTAGTCCATCTGCAGAGATATAAATCATTATTCTGCTCTACTCCCTAAACTGCTACTTTATGTGGTTAAGTGCCTTGCTAAAGAGCACAACGGCAGGAGATGGTCTAGTTGCCAGTGAGTTCATCTCCAATTTTCACGACCGGTCTAGAATTTGAAACAGCAACGTTCCTGTTACTGATTTGCTTCTCTAACCTGTGTGTCCTAACCCTAACCTCCTAACCCTACCTGGTGCAGGATGGAGTAGGTCAGCAGGCTGTTGGGCCCTGATCCGTCCTGGTCCGAAGCCTGGAAGGTGTAGATGGTCGCCCCAGGCTCCATGTTCTCAGGTATCACCAAGGTTACGGGGTCCTCCGGGAAGCGGGGCGCGTGGTCGTTGCTGTCCTCCACCTCGATGTCCAGCTGCACCAGGTGGCTGCTGGGTAACGTTGTGGAGAAGTCGTCCACCTCTATCTGTAATGTGTAGCGGGCGGAGCGCTCGTAGTCCAGCTCCCTTGTCAGGTACACGTCACCTGTCTGACGGTCCACCATGAACGTTCCGTCTCGGTCTGACCCGCCCACCAACGTGTAGGTCACGTGACCATCCTCAGGGAGCTCGAAGCCGTCATGTGACCTCACAGAGCCAATCACAGAGCCCGGTTTGGCCTCCTCGACGGAGTTGAAGTATATGGAGAGGGGGTTGGCTTTGGAAGGAGCTCTGCTCGCACTCAGGACCTGTGGACAGCAAGATGGAGATTTGGTAAGCATACTGTATATCCTCAATACACCACTCAGGACCTATAGACATTCAGAAAGTATTCAGACCCCTTGACTTTTCCTACATTTTGTTACGTTACAGCCTTATTCTAAAATTGATTAAATTGTTTTTTTCCCCTCATTAATCTACACACAATACCCCATAATGACAAAGCAAAAACAGGATATTAGACATTTTAGCTAATATATAAAAAAACAAAACAGAAATATCACATTTCCATAAGTATTCAGACCCTTTACTCAGTACATTGTTGAAGCACCTTTGGCAGCGATTACAGCCTCGAGTCTTATTGGGTATGACGCTACAAGCTTGGCACACCTGTATTTGGGGAGTTTCTCCCATTCTTCTCTGCAGATCCTCTCAAGCTCTGTCAGGTTGGATGGGGAGCATCACTGCACAGCTATTTTCAGGTCTCTCCAGAGATGTTCGATCGGCCTCAAGTCCAGGCTCTGGCTGGGTCACTCAAGGACATTCAGAGACTTGTCCTGAAGCCACTCCTGCGTTGTCTTGGCTGTGTGCTTACGGTGGTTGTCCTGTTGGAAGGTGAACCTTTGCCCCAGTCTCAGGTCCTGAGCGCTCTGGAGCAGGTTTTCATCAAGGATCTCTCTGTACTTTGCTCCGTTCATCTTTGACTCGATCCTGACTTGTCTCCCAGTCCATGCTGCTGAAAAATATCCCCACAGTATGATGCTGCTGCCACCATGCTTCACCGTAGAGACGGAGCCACGTTTTCTCCAGACGTGACGCTTGGCATTCAGGCCAAAGAGTTCAATCTTGGTTTCATCAGACCAGAGAATCTTGTTTCTCATGGTCTTAGAGTCTTTAGGGGCCTTTTGGCAAACTCCAAGCGGGCCATCATGTGCCTTTTACTGAGGAGTGGCTTCCGTCTGGCCACTCTACCATAAAGGCCTGATTGGTGGAGTGCTGCAGAGATGGTTGTCCTTCTGGAAGGTTCTCCCATCTCCACAGAGGAACTCTAGAGCTCTGTCAGAGTGACCATCAAGTTCTTGATCACCTCCCTGACCAAGGCCCTTCTCCCCCGATTGCTCACTTTGACCGTGCGGCCAGCTCTAGGAAGATGGTGGTTCCAAACTTCTTCCGTTTAAGAATGATGGAGGCCACTGTGTTCTTGGGGACCTTCAATGCTGTATAAATGTTTTGGTACCCTTCCCCAGATCTGTGCCTCGACACAATCCTGTCTCAGAGCTCTACGGACAATTCCTTCGACCTCATCGCTTGGTTCTTGCTCTGACATGCACTGTCAACTGTGGGACCTTATATATACAGGTGTGTGCCTTTCCAAATCATGTCCAATCAATTTAATTTACTACAAATGGACTCCAATCAAGTTGTAGAAACATCTCAAGGATGATCAATGGAAACAGGATGCACCTGAGCTCAATTTTGAGTCTCATAGCAAAGGGTCTGAATACTTATGTAAATAAGGTATATCTGTTTTTAATTTTTATACATTTGCAAAAATTTCAAAAAATCTGTTTTCGCTTTGTCATTATGGGGTATTGTGTGTAGATTGCTGAGATAATTTTTTTTATCATGTTTTATCCATTTTAGAATAAGGCTGTAACGTAACAAAATGTTGAAAAAGTCAAGAAGTCTGAATACTTTCCGAAGGCACTGTATATCATCAATATATTGGTGTTAAAGGTTTGTAGCTAGCTAACTCATTACCAGGTTAAATTGCGAGAGCCGGCTGGAGGACAAAATTAGTAGCTAGCTAATCAATGTTTCTTATAACTGGGATCTTCAAACAATCTGTTAACCATTGAGGAACATTATTAGCAACTATGAAAATCCTGACAGTTAATGATAATCCATTTAGCAAGATAGCTGAACATCAACACTCAGCAGACTCACGCTATGTGTCTAAAAATGACCATTATACATGCCTAGTGGCAGTTGGAGCTACATTTTCCAATACAATGCTAAAGAATCAAAATATTCAATGGGACGCTGTTAACCTGAAACAGATTTCTACCCACCCACTCTATTTCCTCATTGGGAATAAAATAAACGGAACGCTTTAAGAGTTTTTTATAAACTCCAACAACATGCCTGCTAGCGCTAATCACATTTAATCAGATAGGCATGTCACTGCCAGGAAAAATAATAAGGGATAAAAGTCAACATAATCAGAAAAGGAAATTGTAATGAGTTTTCAGATCTCACTGCAGTAGGCGGGGCTCGGTAGTCTACAGTACTGAGTTTTTACACCTCCCTTGATGACCAATCAGAAGAACATGAAAGACCACAGCTTTGACGCAACGCTCCCTTTGTATGGAAACAGGCACCAGAAGTTAAACATATGACACATTGTTCTAATAAGCCTGTTTTTCAGTTCAGCTCTAAGCAGGGGATGGAGTCACAGGGTTTAAATATCTGAGAGAGTGAGAGAGAGAGAGAGAGCGAGAGAATGACTGAATAAATGAATGAAAGTGAGGGAGTTAGACCAGGAGAAAGAGAGATAGAGAGACAGCAAGACAAGCAGAAAGAAAATAGTTTTGTGCGCTTCTCCATTTTTCTCCTCAACAAATCCTTGCTGATGCTTAATTAATTACAACCTACAATACCTCGATAAACCACAGTTACACTATACAGCACCACTATGTTGGTAGTCACTAAACAACCCATTGCTCTTTATGAAACATAATATCTGTTAATTAACTCCACATTAGATGGCAAATTGTATGTCAACAAGCGTTAGAATTTGTGAGATCATACCCTGTCCCTATTGCTGTACTTGTCTTGGATGGTGCGAGGGTCTGAAATGATGGCGTGATAGAAATGCATCAACAGACAAGAACAACACAGCCCTGTTGAATCCTATTACACACTAATTATTACTCATATTCTTCACGTCAGAAGAACAGGAGAAATGAGGGAAGGAAATTTTTTTAGAAATAAGGAACACAGAGACGCTGTTTTACTGCAGCCATTACAAGACCCTTCTATTTTCCTGGAACCTTAAAGATCTGCGTTCCAAATGGCACCCTATTCCCTACATAGGGCACTGGTCAAAAGTAGTGCACTATATAGGGAATAGGGTGTCATTAGGGACGCACTTTGGATTTACAGCTACAGAGTTCCTTCCATTGTGCTGGCCTGGTTGGTCACTGTTTAGTTGTATATTAAATATTAATTAAATTAACTTGAATGGTATATTTTATGTGGGTGCATATCCCAGGCGGTGTCGTATTGAAGTGAGGCTACTGTATTAAAAGTGTTGAAGTCATTCAGTATGGCCTTGATCAGAGGAATCACAGCTGGTGATCATCATGGGCAAGATGGGAGCACTTGATTCATACCTAGTTTTCCATCTCTTACTCAAAGAGAAATTCCCATTTTGAAAAGTCACAGAGGAGGAGAAGGGAGGGAGGGAGGGAGGGAGAGGAGGGAGGGAGGGATGGAGGGAGAGGAGGGATGGAAGAAAGAAAAGGAGGGAGGGAAGGAAGTTTGTCAGAACTCAGCCTGGCACGTCTATTTGGAACAACTTTGTTGTGAGGAGCCAGACTTCTAGATCCACATCTAGAGCAAGCTTGACATAGTACTTCTCCCAGTACTTTAGTTAAATGTGGGATATTTGATAGATAGGTGTTGGCTATGATCTAGTAGTTTTCAGACCTTTATGATTAGGATACAGCTAAATCTGTGAGAAGAAAGGTGGTAGGTGATAGGAGATAGGGTATATGATGTAGGAGATAGCAGTCTGAGGTAGGGGTCTCACCTGTATGTGTAGTGAACAGGTAGTGCTGTGAGAGGGCTGACCTCGGTCAGTGGCAGTCACAGTGAAGCTGTACTCAGCTCTGTCAGAGCGACTCAGAGGAGAGGAGGAACGCAGTTCACCTGTAGTAGGGTTCAGAGAGAAGCGCTCTGCTCTGGGACCTGTAGAGGAGGGAGGGAGGGAGGGAGGGAGGGAGGGATAAAAAAAGAGAGAGTGAGAGAGAGTGAGAAGTCCAGCTATAAATTGTTACACAGAGTTCCTTTTGGAAACAATGCCAGAAGAAAACAATGCATTCCTCACATAATCACCCAATGGCAGAATCATTAACTTACACACAATCCCCTCCCTCTCTCCCTCTCTCTCTCCCGTCTTCCATCCCTCTCACCTGACATGGAGTAGTAAACAGTGCCGTTCTCTCCCTCATCAGGGTCCTTGGCCTGTACTTTCCCCAGCAGTAGACCTGACGCCTGGCCCTCCGTCACCTACAGAAGGAAACCACAAGGTGACTTCGTTTTCTTCTCAACGTTGACCACTAACATATCATGTAAGACCATGCCCTAAGGGCTCTGGTCAAAAGTAGCGTACAGTATAGGGAAAGGGTGCCATTTGGGATGCAGCCTCAGTAATACCTGCATGGTGAGTCCTCTGCCAGGCTGGCTGTGTCTGAAGGAGGGAGTGTTGTCATTCTCATCCAGGATGGTGATGAAGGCTGTCCCTGTAGCGCTGCGTGGGGGAGTACCTCCATCCTGAACCACCAACAACACCTGGTAACTACTCTGCTGCTCCCTGTCCAGACCTACACGGGTACTGATCTCACCTGAGGGAGAGAGGGAGAGGACATAGGGAGGGAGGAGGGAGGGAGAGAGAGAGAGAGTCAGAGAGATAGGAGGGAGAGGAGTAATGATGAGAAATTAAAGGGAGAGCCAGTAGTCTTTGATCACACACAAACATACACACATGCAAGCACCCACAAACACACACACACATACACGCACACAGACACACACTAACACACACACACACACACAGGCATGGCAGGAACCTGAACAGCTGCAGTGGAGGTTAGAGTTATCAGCCCCTGGCGAGAGGCTACACACAGTCTCACAGCAGGCCAATTAGGGCCCAGCAGGACCCTCAACACAGCAGCTAACCTGATTTATTAACACAGAGAACAGACAGGCCAGGCATCTGCAGTAGGAGAATGAGTGAGGATGAATGGTCATGTAAGTTGTGGTGTTGTGTGTCTATTCTGAATGCCACATCTGAAGTTCCTGTGGTAAATATAAAGTTATTATACACTAAGTGTACAACACAGGAGGTTGGTGGCACTTTAATTGGGGAGGACTTGCTCGTGGTAATGGCTGGAGTGGAATTGGTGTAATGGTATCAAATACATCAAACACATGGTTTCCATGTGTTTGATGCCATTCCATTTTCTCCGTTCCAGCCATTCCATTTGCTCGTCCTCCCCTCAGCATCCTCCACTGGTGTACAAGACATTAGGAACACCTGCTCTTTCCATGACATAGACTGACAAGGTGAATCCAGGTGAAAGCTATGATTCCTTATTGATGTCACTTGTTAAATCCACTTCAATCAGTGTAGATCAGGGGTGCCCAACCAGTCGATCGTGAGATGATTATACATAAAAATTCAGCCACACAAATCAGTGCCTATAATCTTTCTGTTTTAACATTTGACAGTCCATTCACAGCAATGTCTGAAAAGTCACGTGATTTACATAAAATATGACCAGTTCCTGCCCACTTATTGACGTATAACTAGTTAGCGCGGTCAGATGCCACCCGCCAACTCCAAGTCGAGGTCACGGTGATGCCAGGCAGGTAGCTAGCTAGCTAACTTTGTAGCCAGATTAGTTCTTAACCTCTACGGGATCTACGGCCGTACACCGGATGGTTCAGCTAACGTGCGCTAATGCGATTAGCATGACTGTTGTAAGTAACAGCAAACTTTCCAGGACGTAGACATGTCTTATATGGGCAGAAAGCTTAAAAATACCATGCTATTGCTGGAGGAGAGTGCACAACAACAAAAAACGTATCACGGCAACTGGCTTGATACATTCACCTCTTAAGTTAAATAATGTACTTACATTCAGTAATCTTGCTCTGATTTGTCATCCTGAGAGTCCCAGAGATCAATCAATCAATCAATTTTATTTTATATAGCCCTTCTTACATCAGCTAATATCTCGAAGTGCTGTACAGAAACCCAGCCTAAAACCCCAAACAGCTAGTAATGCAGGTGTAGAAGCACGGTGGCTAGGAAAAACTCCCTAGAAAGGCAAAACCTAGGAAGAAACCTAGAGAGGAACCAGGCTATGAGGGGTGGCCAGTCCTCTTCTGGCTGTGCCGGGTGGAGATTATAACAGAACCATGCCAAGATGTTCAAAAATGTTCATAAGTGACAAGCATGGTCAAATAATAATCAGGAATAAATCTCAGTTGGCTTTTCATAGCCGATCATTAAGAGTTGAAAACAGCAGGTCTGGGACAGGTAGGGGTTCCATAACCGCAGGCAGAACAGTTGAAACTGGAATAGCAGCAAGGCCAGGCGGACTGGGGACAGCAAGGAGTCACCACGGCCGGTAGTCCCGACGTATGGTCCTAGGGCTCAGGTCTCTCAGTTGGCTTTTCATAGCCGATCATTAAGAGTTGAAAACAGCAGGTCTGGGACAGGTAGGGGTTTCGTAGCCGCAGGCAGAACAGTTGAAACTGGAATAGCAGCAAGGCCAGGCGGACTGGGGACAGCAAGGTGTCATCATGCCCGGTAGTCCTGACGTATGGTCCTAGGGCTCAGGTTCTCAGAGAGAAAGAGAGAACGAGAGAATTAGAGAGAGCATACTTAAATTCACACAGGACACTGGATAAGACAGGAGAAGTACTCCAGGTATAACCAACTAACCCCAGCCCCCCCGACACATAAACTACTGCAGCATAAATACTGGAGGCTGAGACAGGAGCGGTCCGGAGACACTGTGGCCCCATCCGAAGAAACCCCCGGACAGGGCCAAACAGGAAGGATATAACCCCACCCACTCCGCCAAAGCACAGCCCCCGCACCACTAGAGGGATATCCCCAACCACCAACTTACAATCCTGAGACAAGGCCGAGTATAGCCCACAGAGGTCTCCACCACAGCACAAACCAGGGGGGGGGCGCCAACCCAGACAGGAAGATCACGTCAGTAACTCAACCCACTCAAGTGACGCACCCCTCCCAGGGACGGCATGAAAGAGCACCAGCAAGCCAGTGACTCAGCCCCTGCAACAGGGTTAGAGGCAGAGAACCCCAGTGGAGAGGGGAACCGGCCTGGCAGAGACAGCAAGGGCTGTTCGTTGCTCCAGCCTTTCCGTTCACCTTCACACTCCTGGGCCAGACTACACTCAATCATATGACCTACTGAAGAGATAAGTCTTCAGTAAAGACTTAAAGGTTGAGACCGAGTCTGCGTCTCTCACATGGGTAGGCAGACTGTTCCATAAAAATGGAGATCTATAGGAGAAAGCCCTGCCTCCCGCTGTTTGCTTAGAAATTCTAGGGACAATTAGGAGGCCTGCGTCTTGTGACCGTAGCGTACGTATTGGTATGTACGGCAGGACCAACTCGGAAAGATAGGTAGGAGCAAGCCCATGTAACGCTTTATAGGTTAACAGTAAAACCTTGAAATCAGCCCTTGCCTTAACAGGAAGCCAGTGTAGGGAAGCTAGCACTGGAGTAATATGATCAAATTTCTTGGTTCTAGTCAGGATTCTAGCAGCCGTATTTAGCACTAACTGAAGTTTATTTAGTGCTTTATCCGGGTAGCCGGAAAATAGAGCATTGCAGTAGTCTAACCTAGAAGTAACAAATGCATGGATTAATTTTTCTGCATCATTTTTGGACAGAACATTTCTGATTTTTGCAATGTTACGTAGATGGAAAAAAGCTGTCCTTGAAACAGTCTTGATATGTTCGTCAAAAGAGAGATCAGGGTCAAGAGTAACGCCTAGGTCCTTCACAGTTTTATTTGAGACGACTTTACAACCATCAAGATTCATTGTCAGATTTAACAGAAGATCTCTTTGTTTCTTGGGACCTAGAACAAGCATCTCTGTTTTGTCCGAGTTTAAAAGTAAAAAGTTTTCAGCCATCCACTTCCTTATGTCTGAAACACAGGCTTCTAGCGAGGGCAATTTTGGGGCTTCACCATGCTTCATTGAAATGTACAGCTGTGTGTCATCCGCATAGCAGTGAAAGTTAACATTATGTTTTCGAATAATATCCCCAAGAGGTAAAATATATAGTGAAAACAATAGTGGTCCTAAAACGGAACCTTGAGGAACACCGAAATGTACAGTTGATTTGTCGGAGGACAGACCATTCACAGAGACAAACTGAGATAAACTGTAGCACAGTTTTGTTTGATAAATCCATTTTTATATTCAAATGTAGGAACTGGGTTCTACAGTGTGAACCCTTGCTGTCTCTGGCTCCACACCCACCCCGCCCAGCCATCTAATGATCCATCATATATGACATTCCTGGGAGTGTGTAAACTTACATTTTGTATTACCATATCATTTTTGTATGTTCTCTATAGTTATGTACTTGAAAATGTATCAATTGACCAATTTGGCACATTTGGGCAGACTTGATAAAAAATAGTATAGCATTTCAATGCTTCACTGGATCAATCTGAAACTTTGCACACACTGCTGCCATCTAGTGGCCAAAATCTAAATTGCGCCTAAACTGCTATATTAAATTGTGGCCTTTCTCTTGCATTTCAAAGATCATTAAAAAAAAAAAACGCATGTTTTTTTGTTTGTATTATATTTTACCAGATCTAATGTGTTATATTCTCCTACATTAATTTCACATTTCCACAAACTTCAAAGTGTTTCCTTTCAAATGGTATCAAGAATATGCATATCCTTGCTTCAGGTCCTGAGCTACATGCAGTTAGATTTGGGTATGTCATTTTAGGCGAAAATATTAGGAAGGTGTTCTTAATGTTCTGTACGCTCAGTGTATCTTTTTGTATTCCTTTCATTAACCAGTCTTTTAACTACCTGTGTGTGAGTTGATCTGGAAGTGTCTGTCTGGGTGTAGGAGTCTGTAACTGAGCCTGCCGTTGAGCCCTGAGTCACGGTCCATAGCCGACACCCGTCCGAACCCTGACCCTGCCGGAAGGTTCTCTCTCACGGCCAGGAAAGCCCTCTCCTGGGTCAAACGGGGTGAGTTGTCGTTTTCATCTGTCACCGACACCCTCACCGTAGCACTGCCCGTCTTCTTCAGCTGCCCGTGGCCCACTGTGGCCAGAACCATCAACATGTACATGTCCTTCACCTGGGCAAAGGTAATTGACGCACATTAAAGAAACATTACATTTAAATTAAAGTTTGTCAGATGTTTTCAGGCCTCTAAAGAAGTCTAATGTCAAGATGAATAAGATCTACATGATCGATATCAATCAAAGTGGTTCACAGGAACATTCAGTGTGCGGGTCTGGACAAGTTTCTATATCTTCCTGTCACATGTCCCTCACCTCTCTGTCCAGGGCGCTCTTCACAAACAGCCAGCCGCTGTCTGCTGCGATGCCAAACCCTGCTGCGTCTCCGTCAGGTCTCAGGTGGTACGCCAGTGGAGAGGAGGAGCCTGAACCCGTGGTGTCCCGGCTCAGAGCTCGCACCTGTAGATGGATGAATTAAGTACTTAATCAGAAATACATATACAGCCAAAACATCAGAGAACTGACAGTTCTGTTTGATATGTGAGATATTATGTCTATTGTTATATACAGAAAAATGTGTCCAAGACAATGTTCCCCTTTCAACCTGTGGATGAACAGTATACATGATGTGTAGCAGATATTGGGACGGTTTCCCGGATACAGATGAAGCCTATTTTGGACAACAAAATCGCTTTCAATGGAAATTCAAATTGTTTTTATTCCAGGGTAGGATTACTGTAGTCTGGGTCTGGGAAACCTGCCCTCAATATCCTTTTCTTATATACAGCAGAATTGTATCCAAGACAGTTTTCCCCCCTCTTGGGGACGATAAAGGGTTACACTTTATTTGGATAGTCCCCTGTAGATGATCTACAGATACTCAAACTATCAGCAACCTATCAACTGCAACTCTGTTGATACATAACAGCTTGCTGGGGTTACGGTTAGGGATAGTTAGTGGAAATGTTGTTGACAGTTAGTTGAACAATCTACTGAACATACCTGTAGGAAGCGTGTGCTGAGCGGCGTGTTCTCCCTCAGCTCCACGCGGTAGGTCAGGGTGTCGAACACGGGACCGTGGTCGTTCTCCGCCTGGACGTGCACCACAAGCATCATGGTAGAGCTCAGCTGGGGCGTGCCGCCATCTTTAGCTGTCACCTTCAGGTCGTAGCGCGGCGTTACGTCATATGACAGCCCGCCAACCAGCCGGATCTCTCCCGTTC